ATAGAAGAAGACCAAGAAGAAGAACAAGAAGACCAACAAGAAGAAGAGTGGTCAAATATCAGACAGAAATCTACCAGGAACTTGTTGGGAGACAAAAAGCCTGATGTCCAGGTGACATTGGCTGAGGGACATTTAGGACAAAGATAAGTTTCACATTTATTTATCATGAGCAGTAGTTATGTAGCACCTTTCTATTCAACCAGGATACTCAAAGCTCTTTACAACACAACCTGTGCCCTCATTTATCTCCACACATTCATACAGCACTCTACTACAGCTCTACAAACATAATCTGAATAAATCATTTTGTAATCTAATCAATACTTCAGATCCATACGCTGATGGGACACACTGGAGGAATGAGACGTTCGGTGTCTTGCCCAGGGACACTTCAACATGCGACTACTGGTGGAATTGGAAATCCAGCTCTCTTGTTGGAGGACGACTGAGCCTCAGCTGTTCATGGGTGGAAAGAAACTCCTGACAGCAGCTTTACGTCTGACAACCATACACTGAACAGTTTCTGAGTTTCTTACCTACAGTGTGACCCAACAGGCTTCGAACGCCAATTACTAATCCTTCGGCGAACTCCTCTGGACCTTGAACGGCTCCCTGAGGAGCACAAACACTTTCACTTCATCTACAGGTTTCTGATTCAGATTTCAATTAGGATCAGATGTTCAGTCCTGATCAAAGTCTGGTACAGTATAAGCCAAGTGTTACCTGAAACGGCTCATAGAAGAAGGCCTCCACTCCCTCGGACAGACCTCGGATCAGTCCAAACGGGTTCCCCAGAACATCCAGACCCAGAACCAGAACATACATCTGCTTAAGGAACTGCAGCCAGAACACAACAGGTTTGTTCCAGAACTAAGGACTTTCTATATGCTTCTCAGTTTAACTGAGATTTATTTTCTAAAGCATGAGGAGGGAAAGTAAACAGTCTTAAAGACCGACTGACGGCCTGGCGCCCTCCCACCACCACTGTGGGCCTGTTCTGACTTAGCTATAAAATATTTCCTTAAGTATCAGATAGCTTTTAGATGGTCCTAAATACAGATGTGAGCTGCCTCAGTGCTCGTTGAAAATGTCTTTACTCAGACCACCTCTGGTGGGGGTCTGGACCCCTTTAATCCTCACGTGCTCAGGACATATTGTTATTTAGACTTACATTATCTTAAGCTGTTATGTGAAAGAGTTATTTAATGATGAAAAAATGTTGGAAAATAAAATAATTTAAAATAACAACAGAAAAATTGTGTATTTTGACAATTTTATGGCTTTAACAAATAACCTGCAATTCTTGGAAACATTTTTAAGACACAGCTTTTCTTTGTTTGTTTCACTTTTTGCAGCTGAAGGTTTTAATGAACTGTAAATATATATATTTTTTTAATTAAAATGTCTGTTTTGGGGGGATTTTATTAATTCGACTGGATTATCAAAACCAGGTGTGGTGAGTTTCTCTTGTTCTGATTACTTCTGGACTGGCTGTGGTCACTGTAAAGCAGTGCTTCTCAGTTATTTTCTGTTACAACCCCCTTAGGAAGACATAAACATTTCGCACCCCCCTACTCTCCGTGGCGACTGTAAATAGTATAATTTGTATATAAAATTATTATAAGTACACCTCTGCATAACATTGTGTCCTTATTAACATTAATGTCACAGCCCTACTGAGCAGTAAACTGAATTCAGCCTTTAACGTGGATCAAACCTGTGAATGAAGGAGGATGTTACCTGTTCACTGTAATGTTGGCCCACCGTCCGCATCAGCTTTTCTCTGCTGTAAAACTGATACTTCATCTCGAAGAAGGCCAGCCTGACAGAGACAGAAGCCAAAGACAAAAGTCTAACTCAAGTCTGGAATCTACATGCAGCCACCAGAGCCTCAGACTGTCTCACTTGAAGATGATGTCATCCACATTGGTCAGCGTGGCACCAATACTTTTTAACAGCAGCTTCAGAGGCTGAAGAGCAGCCGACTCCTGAGAAGAGCTGTCATTGCTGGAACCCAGAGACAAACTGAGGTGAAGCTGGAATAGAAAAGACAGGATGTAGATCAGAACTGCTGCATCAAAAAAAGACCAACAGAAAATACAAAAAAAAAAATTAAAACTGCAAGCAGCATTGGAGGCCCTCGCAGCAAAGCGCCGCTCCGGCCTTATGGCGACCGTGGGAGTTCCAGCTAGTCCACCCAGTCGCCATCGCGAACGCTCTCGTGCCAATCCCTCACGCGTTCACAACGGGCTGCATTTCCCGAAAGTTTGACATTGCCTTCTGTCCATGTCATTACTTGTCCAGCTGCAGGTTTTACAAGTATAGGCAAAATCTGACCTTCCAGACAGGAGTTATGGTGACTTCCTGTTTTGTTGTGAATGTTTGACAAGCACTTCCTTTATGCTTTTCAACATGTCATGTGTGGTAATCAACAGTTAGCGAACAAAGTTTCAGTCTAATATCTTACACAGTGCGAAGCCGGAAGTGTCATCCAATAATCAACAGTTTTTTCTCTGACTAGGTGGGGCTTAAGTGATGTCATGAATCAACAATATCAATGTGTCACTGATGAAGCACCCAAACTCAGGTTTAGATCAGATGCTGTATCACTAAGATATAACTGTTGGAATAATATAGGGGGCGCACTTGAGTCAAATGTTAAACAACAATACCAGTGTTTGTAAGGGTGCTCAGTAATTACTTACTAAAAATCTGGCCTAGATCGGATGATATTTCACTGAGATATAACTCTTGGAATAATCTAGGGAGCGCGCTTGAGTCATATGTTAAACCACAACATCAATGTGTCTAGACGTGGTCACTAATTATGCACAAAAATTCTGGTTCAGATTGGATGATGTATCACTGAGATATAACTATTGGAATAATCTGGGGTCACACTTGAGTCAAATGTTAAAGAACAATATCAATGTGTCTATAAGTGCTCACTTTATCACGTACATAAAATCTGGTACACATTGGATGATATTTCACTGAGATATAACTGTTGGAATAATCTAGGGGGCACACTCAAGTCAAATGTTAAATAACAACACAAATGATGTTCTTCATAAAATGAAGAACATTATAGACAACCCTCAGCATCCTCTTCATCAGACTGTCATACAACAACAAAGTGTCTTCAGTCAGAGGCTTCTTCAAATCCGTTGTAGGACAGACCGCTACAAGAGATCCTTCCTGCCCACAGCCATCAGCATCTAGAACAACTCATTAATGAAACCAGGATGATGAGTTACCCAACATATAATTTCCCTCTGGGATTAATAAAGTATTTTTGAATTGAATTGAATTGAAATGTATATAGAAGTGCTCATTGATCACGCACAAAAAAATCTCGTGCAGATCGGATAACATATCATTGAGATATAACAGTTTGAATAATCTAGGGAGCGCACTTGAGTCAAATGTTAAACAACAATATCAATGTGTCTAAAAGTCCTCACTGATGATGCACAATAAATCTGGTGCAGATCGGATGTTGTATCACTGAGCTATAACTGTAGGAATAATTTAGGTGGTGCTGTGGAGGCTATTGGCCACTTATCATGGATACCTGTTCAAGGGGCGGGTAATGATCGATCATAGTGATTTTGGTGCACCTTGGCTGAAATCTGTGCAATTTAGAGCCAAACGTATTGCAACGGTGTCACTTCTTAATTTGCCACGCCCACATCCTCAAGCAAAAACGGTTTGCGCTTTAAATCAAGTCAGACCATATTATCTGTCTTCTAACACAGGATCATCCTGATTAGGTCAATGGTGTCAAAGAGGGAGCATTCCAAGTTAAAAAAGTGACTTCCTGTTCCGAGGGGGTGGGGCTTTGATGACGTCAAAATATGACCACAGTGGATCGTCGGGCATCCAACAGGGATGAGTCATGCCAAGTTTCGTGCATTTCGGTCTTTCAATGTGAAAGTTAGTGTTTTGAAATTTATGTTGTGAAGCGAAACTTTGAGGACTGGCCACGCCCCTTTAACGTATACGAAAACGGAAGCTTTAGATAACTTTTACTTTCCAATGTCTTAAGGGCATATCAACCAAGTTTGAAGGCAATCCAAGTTTGAAGGCAATGGAGGAGGGGGCGTACCAAAGAGACCATCTTATCACAAGCAGAACTGGTTTGTTCCACTTTAGTAAGCTGTTGGGGGAAAAATCAGTTTTGTTGTGTGTTTCGTTGACAGATGCAGCCTTCCGGACCGAAGGCGAAACGTTTCAGCACAAAAAAAAAAAGAAACTGTCCAGATGACCTGACTAAAAAATGTTGGCTTTTATACCTGGATTATTGAGCATGGACTTTGTTGCAATCCTTTAAAATTTCAAGGAGGAGTTCGTTAAAATTTGCAATTAGAAACGCCCCAAAATGACCCTTTGACTCAAAATGGCCAACTTCCTGTTGGTTTTGGACCAGGGCTCCAAGAGGCTTTTTCATAGGTCCTGAGAAGATACAGATGTTCACTGAGTTTCAGAATTATCGGTCAAAAAATGGCTTGGGGCTGAGGTTTTAAAATATTATAGGGGGTGATGTGGAGGCTATTGGCCACTTTTCATGGCTTCTTGTTCAAGCGGTGGATATTGATCGATCATACTGATTTTGGTGCACTTCAAAAAACCTCGCAACCTTCACTCCGACAGCACGGCGTTGATGACGTCACGCCCTCCGCCTCTCAACGTTCGCACAGCGACGTTAAACGTGCAGCCCCACGACGTCATCAGCTGGCACACGCTTCGCCTCAGCACACACGGCCCACCCAGACATGAAGGTTGGTCCGCGATCCAGACGCAGCGCACGGGCGCGTGCAGAACAGCCCTTTCGAGGAAGCCTCGCCTTGGGTCACGAGGAAATCATTTCCGCGACGCATGACGGCGGTCGAGGTGGCGGATTGGATGACATCCGTTCAAAACACGGCGCATCACTTAAACGCACGTCCACTCCATGAACGTTACGCAGAGTGGCTAAAAACATGCTCGCCGGACAGATGGATGGACAGAGTGTTATGCAAGGGTTACACGCTGCAATTTGCAACCCGACCCCCTCCATTCGGAGGAGTTATGGAGACGGTCCTGTCATCACCAGACCAAATCTCAGCCTTAAATGCAGAAGTTCAGGAGCTTCTGATAAAAGGCTTAATCTCCAGAGTTCCCAACGGAGAGGAAAACACAGGGTTTTACTCACTCTACTTCCTGGTCCCCAAACGGACCGGAAGGATGAGACCGATTCTGGATCTGTCAGCTTTCAACAAAGCGATCATGGACAGACCGTTTCACATGCTGACAACCAGACAGCTGTTGGACAACATCCAGAGAAACGACTGGTTTGTTTCCATCGATCTAAAAGATGCTTATTTTCACATACCGATCATCCCAAAACACAGGAAATTTCTGCGTTTCGCCTTTCAGGGGATGAAGTATCAGTACAACAGGCTGCCTTTCGGGTATTCCCTCGCGCCTCGTACGTTCTCAAAGTGTGTGGAGACAGCCCTGCACCCACTGCACAGAGCAGGGATGAAAATTTTGTTTTACCTGGACGACCTGCTGCTCCTGTCACACTCCAGACAGGAGGCGCTGATGCAGGCTCAGGTGCTGGCATCACACCTGTTAAATCTGGGCTTCGCCATGAATTGGAAGAAAAGCTAGATTTTCCCGGCCCAGACAATTGTTTATCTGGGAGTGGAATTAAATTCAACTACCATGAAGGCTCGCTTATCACAAACGAGAATCGACACTTTAAAAAGTCAACTCCGCCACGTAAGACCTGGCAAAGTGATAACAGCTGTCTCCGTCATGAAGCTGTTGGGAATGATGTCATCAGCTCACACAGTGGTTCCGCTGGGTTTGTTACACATGAGACGCCTCCAGAGGTGGCTTGCGCGTCTGCGTGTGGATCCAGTAAAACAAAAAAGACGGATGATCACTGTCCCTCCCTCCGTGAGAGCAGACCTCCGACACTGGGGAAACACCCTGGTTACCGCCAGGGGGCGGTGCGTTCAGCCCAGATGTTACACATTGCGCGAAAGCTACTGTGTTGGGCTCACCAAAACCTGCTCTCCATCAGAGCAGTTTACATACCCGGTGTTCTGAACAGAGGGGCAGATGTGATGTCCAGGGGCGGTCCACGTCACGCGGACTGGACCCTCCATCCAGACCTGATGGTTCAGACATGGCAGAAGTTTGGCAAAGCAGCTGTGGACCTGTTTGCGACACGAGAGAACGCTCAGTGTCAACTATGGTTTTCCCTGAGCCCGCGAGACGATCCACCGCTGGGGGTGGATGCATTTGCTCACAGCCCGTGGCCCAAAACGCTTCTGTACGCGTTTCCCCCACCTCCTCTGATTTTACGGTTCCTGAACCGAGTTCAGGAGGAGGGATTGACAGCTCTCCTGGTGGCTGCCGAGCGCGTGAACGCACCATGGTTCCCAGTCCTGCAACGTCTGTTGTCGGGTCATCCGTGGAAACTGCCATGGAGGGAGGATGCTCTCCTTCAAGCAGGAGGAGCGATCAGGAGTTACCCAGAAATAGGCTAGCACCTGTGGGTCTGGCCACTGAGCGGTCCCGCTTAGAGAGGATGGGTCTCCCACAGGAGGTAGAGCGCACAAACCAAGATTCACGTGCTGCATCTACCACAGCTCTGTACACATCAAAGTGGACGGCTTTTCAGCGCTGGTGTACAGAGAAAGGTTTAGAGGCCACCTCATGCCCATTAGGCGGCGTGCTGTCTTTTCTACAACAGCTGATGGATAGGAAGTTGGCATTCAGCACGATTAAAACGTACGCTGCAGCCATCTCTTCCTGCCACGAAGGGTTCGAAGACAGAACAGCTTTTAATCACCCGCTGATGAAGCGGTCTCTAAAAGGTGTACAAAGACGTAGGCCTGTTTCACGCCCACTTGTTCCACAGTGGGATTTAACGCTGGTCCTGCGAGCCCTGATCAAAGCTCCATTTGAGCCTTTGGATCAGGTTTCACTTAAATTCTTGTCTCTTAAAACAGCCCTGCTGCTGGCTTTAACATCCGCTAAGAGGGTGAGTGATTTATCTGCCCTCTCTGCCGCTCCGTCATGTCTCAGAATCCAGGCTGACGGTAGTTCAGCTGATTTAAGACCAAACCCAGCTTTTATGCCTAAAAACATCACGAGCTCTTTTAAATCAAGAGTGATATCGTTGGAGGGATTCTTCCCTCCCCCCCACAAATCAGATGAAGAAGCATCTTTCCATCTTCTCTGTCCGGTGCGGGCGTTGACGTGTTACATAGCGCGCACAGCTGTAATGCGTCAAACTCAACACCTGTTTGTGCATTATAGAGATGCATCTGCAGGTCGCCCGTTATCCACCCAGCGCTTGTCACACTGGCTGTGTGAGGCCATTTCTGAAGCCTACAGTGCATCAGATTTAGAGCCTCCTGTCAACCTCAAAGCACACGCGACCAGGGGTATCGCATCTTCGACTGCCTTGCATAATGGTATGTCAATGCAGGACATTTGCACTGCGGCTGCATGGTCAACACCCTGCTCATTTATTCGCTTTTACCTACGTGATGTGACGGCTCGTTCCATGACACATTCTGTCCTTAGTGCTCTAACAGAATGAATATTGTTGTTTTTCATGGAACTCTGTTTAAGCTCACATCTGTCTGCATGCATTACAGTGTGAGATGTTGTTATCAGTCACAAGTTGTGTCTGTTATTTTGGTTCTATTGTCACTAATCAGTTCATGACTATTGTTACCAATCAGTTCATTTGATCAATAATCAGTTCATTGATATTAATCTGTTTATACTATTCAGCCATGAACCAGTTGGTTCATGCCCCCCCCCCCCCCTTCTTTTCAACATCCTCTCCCCGTTGAAAGTTTTCCGGGGCGTTCATGTTTTGTCAGAACGCATAGTTACACAACATGCGTCTGTGCATGGTACACATAATTACGCGATGCGTAGTTATGCACATGGGGAGCTGAGTGACAAGACGTTTTTTGGGCAAGCTTCCGCTTCTTACTGTGTTCGAATGGACCCAGTGAGGCGAGGACCACATCCGCTTCGCCCTTAACCCATCAGCGACAGCCTTAAAGGGCGAAGCCTATACGAAATAGAACGTTGGTTACGTACTGTAACCCCAGATTCTATGAGTATAGGCGTAACCCTTTAAGCGTCGGGCCTCACTGGCTCCTGAATAGCTGAAGAAAAAATAAGCTATTTGGGAGCCGATTACCCGCTCTTAATGTAACTTATACGGATCGGGTGGGGCCCACACAGCAGGTGGGCGTGGACTAATTTTTTTCAGTATGATGCTTGCGCATAATGGGATAAACCCATCAGCGACAGCCTTAAAGGGCTACGCCTATACTCATAGAATCTGGGGTTACAGTACGTAACAAACGTTTACACAGCATAAATGCGTGCCCGCTTTACAGCTTATAAACGGGTGGCAATGAACGCGCGCTTTCCAGACGGATGGGCGGACCGTTTTCATCCAGGATTCACGCTGCAGTTCAGCTCAAACCCCGGTGTGGAGGAACTCTGTGACGTTTTTTCTGTCATTTATGAACAGATCTCGTCCCCTCTAGCAGAAGCTCAGGAAATTCTGTTTTAAATGTAATTTCTAGAGTCTCAGATGGAGAGGAAACGCAAGGTCTCTCTTATCACTTCCTGGTCCCAATGAACTGGAAAGATGAGATTTATTTTAGATTGTCAATTTCTGAGCTGTGAGAAACAACACTCCATTATGCGCCTGAGCTGTTTTTAATTCTGCTTTATCTGGACACCTGCTGCTGCTGAGCAGCTTGTACAGACAGGTGGCAGCAGTGCAAGAAAACTTGGGAATTATTTTTACACCAGATGTCCTTCCTTACACAACCACTGACCACCGAGCTACCACAGCCCTCTGTGTGGAGCAGAGAGCTTCCATCTAGGGCACCCAGTGGAGCAGATGTTGGGGGTTAAGGGCCTTGCTCAGGGCCCAGAGTGGGGCAAATGAGGGTGGAGGCAGGTGTGAGTGCTTCACCTTTCCCACGCACAATTTAACGTTTTCGGTGCAAACTTCCGATCACAGTCTCGCCTTCTCTAACCCCTAAGCAACTCCTCCACTTTAATTTAGCTGCATAGTTTGACAGGAAAAAAAAAGCAAGAAGCCTTATTTGTAACAATAAAAGTTACAAATTCTTCTTTGAGAAACTAACTTAAAAAAAGCAATACAATTATTCTTAGTAACAGAACAATCTATGACAAGGCTATTCAACTAAACTGCTAAGGGGGCCCCAGTTACTGACAGCCAGCAGCTCAGGGGCCAGACGTCCAGCCATTAAAGTCATTATCAGAATCGGAATCAACTTTATTGTCACTACACAGTTAAGTACAGTGAAATTACGTTCCGTACAGCTGTCCGAAACATGGATGGAAATGTACAGGGGCTGCAGCTTTTAAGAAGCGCTGCCCTTATTGCTTTTAGATAGAAAAAGGGGAAGAAAACATGAGGAGGTATAAAAAAAAATCTCTCACACCGTGTCCTTGACAGGGAACGGTTTAAGGCATCAAAAAAATCTACCACAGCAAAGCAACTTAAATAGACATAATACATATGCATGTGGAGTAGGAGGGGGGTGGGGGTCCCAGCACGGCCGCCAGGTGAGCGACGCAGACCTTTGGTACCTTTGCATCTCCTAAGTTGCTGCGCCAGGGGAGGGTATGTAATAAACCAAGTATTACAATGAACTGTTACCTTTTAAATTGGTTTATTTTGCTGTATTGAATTATAAATGCAATAAACAGAACCCAAAAATGTAATTCAAAGAAATTACATTTCGAGATTTATTTCCTTGCAATAAAAGTCATAATATTCTAATGTGAAACAATATTTAACTCAAAAATGGCACACTATGCTACTATTAACACAAATATTATTCTGACATCTCTGACTTGCCAAATCTTTGTACCTTAAATGACCAACGTGTTGCTGTTCCAGGTAGGTCCAGAACCAGTTCTGCACAGACCAGTTTTTCCTCAAACGGTTCATAAATCACTCCTCCTTGAATCTTGAGTTTGTCCACCTGAACGATCCTAGGAGCTCTGCTGTTGGTGGCTACTGTAATCACCCCTGGTAGGGTCTCACAGCAGACTGGTCCAAAGTGACAGGCCACACAAAGAACGATTCTAAACACTCGTACTGACAGAAAATAGCAATGAGCTCAGTGTCCATTGCCCAGACACAGGTGTTTGTGTCTAAGTGTCTGTGTCCAGTTGGGTTACCACAGCCCCACCCTGGAGCCAAACCTGGGGGAGGGGCTCGTCGGCGAGTGTCTGGTGACCGGGTCTCTACCCATGGGGCCTGGTTGGGCTCAACCCAACAAGCAACATGGGTTTGCCTTTCTTCCAGTGAGTCTCAAAACCAGGATTCATCTTACTAGAAGGGTAGCCTGGACAGAGGGAGACTCTATGGAAAGTGACCCTGGCACGACTTTGAACTTCCCGTTGTTACGGCATCATCTGACAACCCAGCTGGTACCGACGTTAGAGGCTGACTGATCTATGACCTGGGCAGGACAGAAGTTTCATTACTCACTGGTGGTTTCGGAGTGCTTTCAGGATCAAAAGCAGTTCACTGTTCCAACCCAAGACAAGTTCCTCTTAGAAGTATTTTTAATTTTCTTTTATAATTTATTTTTATTGTGTAAACCCCGTTAAATTCATTTATTTTGCTAGGTTAGTTATAATCTTCCCCTTTTAACATACAACAGACCCAGGTCTTAGTTTGCCTCAAAGTTCAAATCATTTCCCATAATTTTACATTTTCTTTTCAATATTATAAGGCCCATTATCTAAATAATATCACTGTATTATCATATACATCTATGCAAATATAGTTAAATAAATATTGATGACTCAAATCAGTGTGTGTGTTCTAAATAATAGAACCTAATATTACTCCAATGGAAGAGCTCATGTTTTCTAGAGTTATTTCATTGAAATTGATTACTTATGTCATAAACATAACTTTCTTCAAAGAGAAGGTGGTGCCCCAGAGTGTTTAAAATTGTGAATTAGGATAAACAGTTAAATTAATAATAACCCAAATATTCATTTTCATAATTGAACCCCATCACTACATGTTTGATTCTTCTTGGATCTGGCTTCTGTCCTCAGAAACTTTTAGTGAACATCAGAGTCTACCCACGACAGCTGGGGGCATACTGAACCTCTGGAACATCTAATAACGTGTTCTCGAAATCTATAAAACAATTGATGCTAACTAATCAAATATCTCATCGAACTGAGGTTAGTAAAGATGACTGTTACCTTGATGGGTGAGATGTGGAAAAATTCAAAGAAGCTAAATCCTGACGTGTTGGACAGCGACATCTCTGTGGGCTCTGCTTGCAGACGCTGCAGGTCTCCCTCGATCAGCCCCGACTGAAAAACAGATTTATTACTCTGTGCGAGGCTCATATGTTGCAGGGGAAGTATCACCGTCTGAACTGGTTTTACCTTCTGTCCTTCATTTTCAGGGTCAGAATCTGACGTAAACAGAGCCAAGACAGCTTCCAGGAAACCCTGATCAATTTTCACTGCCATCTCCTGAACCAGAGCCATGAAGTACCTGAAGAACATGCGAGTTAAAAGATTCACCTGAATCACATCATTAGTTACTGTCAGTAAAGCTCTGCTCCGTCTCTGAGGTGGGCTACTGAATTAACTGTCTATGATCTGGTCCTGTGGACTTGTCAGACCAGGGGCCTCGTGTACAAACACTTGCGTGGATTTCCTAATAAAACATGGTGCACGCGTCAATCAAGAAAACATCATATGCACAAATAAATCCAGATGTTTGAAACCGTGTGTATGAATTAAATTAAATTAAATTCAGCTCATTTATATAGCACCAAATCATAACAGAAGTTGTCTCAGGGCACTAAACAGAAACATTCACACACACAAAAGTCAATTAATAAAAGTTATCTAAAGAAGCAGCAGACTTGTTGAATCTTCACTTTGTCACAGTCTCCCATCCTGAGCAAGCACAAAGATGACAGTGGAAAGGAAAAACTCCCTTTCAACAGGAAGAAACCTCCAGCAGAACCAGGCTCAGGACGAGCGGCCATCTGCTTGACCAGCTGGGTAAGAGAGGACAGGAAGGAGAAACAAACAAAAGAATCCAAGCATACTCCTTGGTACTGTACATTCCAGTCAACGTGGAACTGAGTGCACAGGAAGTACCTGACTCCTCCCTCGACACGTCTCCATTAAATATGTTTTACATATGGGATTCTCATCTCTGTATGTTAAAAATGTATGTCTAGATGCAGCCAAATGAAGAATTTAACTGAATGTGAATCAGAGATGCTCCTAAATAAGTAGTGGGGTGTAAAAACATGTAACACATGTAAAAAGGTATGTGCTGCTGTTGAATGAAGTAAATCAGGGGGTGCAGATCTGCCGGTGGAGCCTTTCTAAGGCATTTTTAACTTTACATGTTTAATAAATAATTTATGTAGACACAGAGGAACTCAGGAGCTTAGTAGAACTTAAAATCTTATTCTTGAAATAGCTTATATGACAAAACGCGTCACTGAGAATTATCAATTTCCACGATGTGTAGAAATTTTATATCATATGGGCATCGTGTGGATGAAGTCATCCCATCCAGCTGGCACGGCTCAGGGACAACTGAGAAATACCTGATCAGTATTTGGTCTGTGTGATCCCTGTAACCTGCTGCCTCCCAACTCTTCTATTAGTGATGTCATCCTGCAGCACCACAGCTGTCACTGTCCCACAGTTTTGTAGAACTTTATGCAGCTATCTACGGTCATGTATGTAAGGGCGTACATCTTGCCAACCCGAGGAGTCAGAGTTGTTTTGAATTAATTTACTGATCTGACATCTTTTTCTTGTCAGTGAGGATGAAATGCCCCTTACACAGTTCATACACACTTTATGTTCCTCCTCTGTCTGTGCGCCTCGCATGCGTGCACTCACTGACGTGTGTTTACATCTAAATGTGACAAAAATATAAGAAACGTTACATTTTGCAGTGAGGTGAGGTAGTTTGGATAATTTTTGAGGCATGTTAGGTGTTCTGTTGTTTGAGGTTACATGATCAGTTTCCTAGATTGGATTTAAACCACAAATGTCCAAACTCATGAAAAAAACATGATGTTTGAATATCCAAGTTCAGAAAACCAAATAGAGTCATATTTTGGTGTATTTAGAGGAGTGTCAGTACTTTGCAGTCTCATACTGTGGACTGAAAAAAGTACACACATTCTTACAGCAGGTCAAAAATGTGCATGAGTTTATGCACACTTTCGAGCAACGTTCATTTTGATACATCCCGACATGAGCGAGGAACATGGCACACATGCAACCTTTTTGTGCGTTTATACACGAGGTTCCAAAACAAGGTGTACTGTCAGTAAACTGGCTGTGGTGGTACTCACTTGATCTGTGTGACGTTGCTGTGCTGGTTGAACCTTGTGATGATGGACATGTCGATGAAGGGCTTTGGTTCTGAAGAGGCAGAACACAGTTACTAAAATTAGGATCATCACATCAATGAGTATAAGGCGGGGGATTAAATACTCTACCTGAGTCTAGAGCAATGGACTTTGGAGGAGGGACTGGATGGAAGATGATGGGGAACATGGCACCCAGGAGCTGGTTGTCCACCTGAAGCCAAAAACTGTGTTAATCATTCAGGTGTGGGCTTCTGTCCAGGTATCTGTGTCCATGTGTCTGTGTCCAGCTATTTGTGTCCAGGTGTTTGTGTCTAAATGTTTGAGTCCAGGTGTTTGTGTCTAGATGTCTGTGTCAAGGTGTTTGTGTCAAGGTGTTTGTGTCAAGGTGTTTGTGTCCAGGTGTGTGTGTCCAGGTGTTTGTGTCAAGGTGTTTGTGTCCAGATGTTTGTGTCCA